GTGCGGGTGCACAACCTGCTTTCAACCACCGCGATCACCGGGAACCTGTCCACACATGTCAAATGGACCGGGACTAAGGAGGATACCTCCATGCTCCACGTGTGGGGGTGCATGGTGCAGTACCGCCTGCCGATATCAACCATCGGCAAATTCGCCAGTTGCGAGCGCTTGGGCATTCACCTCGGCATCAGTCACGAGCACAAGGCATGGATCGTGCTGGACCTCCTCAGTCAGAAAACCGCTCGCCCACACTCGCGACGTAATCTTCTACGAGCGTCTCTTCCTCGACCAATTCCGCCGCGACGAGGAAACAAGCGCGAATCGCGTTTAAGCGAACGACGGGCACAGCTACGCAACACCAGATGACGAAGCCGCTGCAGCAATCCTGGAACAGGACACCAGGGGCGAGTTCACGTGGGAAAATCGACGCAGCAGCGACAACGACGACGACGATTCCTCAGGAGGAGGAATGGGCGGAACAGGCGGAAGCGGCAGAGGCGCAGCACCACCAGCGCCACCTGAACCAGAGAGCGATGACGACGATGTGCAGGAAGTCATCCCGCAACACCACCGCGACCGCACCGTTTCAGGACTGCAGTTGCTCGGGCTTCACACCGCAACCTCGAAGGCGCCACGTGTCATCGAGCCCCGAAACCCGCGCGAAGCTCTCACTGTCATAATGTTATTCTCTAGCCTGTAGTGGGGTGCTCTGTAGCGAGTACAACCCATCTAGGGTTTGCTATATGTATCCTCATTGCTGCTAGTGAAAACCCTCTTCTTTTGCCTAAACTGTCTCTTGCCTAGCTAGGACTCTCCTAGCTATGGCTCCTAACACTACATACTATTTTGACATGGTATCAGAGCTTAACGTTCCTGGCCTGTGGGCCCACTTCACTGCTTCCGCTGCTACTGCTACTCCCTGTCCGCCGCGCGCCCCGTGGTGCGCGGCGTCGAAATTAGGGTTTTCAGCCCGCCGTGCGCCCCGAGGCGCGCGGCGGTTTTCTGCCCGCCGTGCGCCCCGAGGCGTGCGGCGGTTCTCTGCCCGCCGTGTGCCCCGAGGCGCGCGGCGGGTTCCTGCCCCGTCACTCGGCGCGTCGCCCCCGGGAGGCGCTGCGACGGGCGACGGGGACCCGCGCGTCGCCCCCCGTCGCCCGTCGTGGCCTGCGCGCGGCCCGTACAGCCGGCGCGCGGCCCGTACGGGCTGCGCCAGGCCTGCGCGCGGCCCGTACGGGCTGCGCCAGGCCCGCGCGCGGCCCGTACGGGCTGCGCCAGGCCCGCGCGCGGCTCGTACGGGCTGCGCCAGGCCCGCGCGCGGCTCGGACCGCCTGCGCGCGGTTCGGGAGGCTGTGCCAGGCCCGTGGGCGGCCCGTTCTTCGCTGCCCCTGTCCTCCCCGCTATCCCCCATGCTTCTGAAGGCGCCCCACCCCTCCTTCTGCCCGTTCTCCTGGATTAGGGTTTGGGGGTGGGGGGTATGGGGGTGCAGCTTCTGAGTGCCGTTCCCTGCTCCTCCTCCTCCTCCGTCTCCCTGTGCTGCAGCTGCCGCTGAGGGGGGGTGGACCTGTTGGAGCCGACGGAGTGGTACTAAGGGGGGGGTGAAAGGGGAGTGGAGCTAGCGGTGTAGCAGGCTGTGTTAGGGGGAGTGGGATAGTTTGGGGAGGTTGAAGGGGGTGGCCGCCGTCAAGCCAGCAGCTCCAGTCGCCCGTGAGACCGTTGCGCCAGTCGCCCGTGAGCCCGTTGCGCCAGTCGCCCGTGAGCCCGTTGCTCCAGTCGCCCGTGAGTCCGTTGCTCGTCTGCCGCTACTTTTAGCCGCGGAGCCAGTTACTCCAGTAGCCCGTGTGCCAGTTGCTCCAGTTGCCAGTGTGCCAGTTGCTCCAGTTGCCCGTGTGCCAGTTGCTCCAGTTGCGCCGTGTGCCAGCAGCTTCAGCTGCCGCCCACTACCTCCTCTCCTCTCATAGTCTCTTTCCTCCTCCTCACTTGCCCGTTGTGACTACCACTAGCTTTGCTCATAATTGTGAACTTTAAACTATTGCTTCTTGAACTTGTGCTCAGAATGTGTGGTGACATTGTGATCCACCCTGAGCTTGTACTGCTTTGTTTGCTCTGCTGATTACACCCCACTTTGGCTATGGGGGTGTGTCAGAATGTTATTCTCTAGCCTGTAGTGGGGTGCTCTGTAGCGAGTACAACCCATCTAGGGTTTGCTATATGTATCCTCATTGCTGCTAGTGAAAACCCTCTTCTTTTGCCTAAACTGTCTCTTGCCTAGCTAGGACTCTCCTAGCTATGGCTCCTAACACTACATACTATTTTGACACTCACTGGACCACACAGCAAGGAATGGCGCGAGGCGATGGATGCGGAGATTAAGGCACTCGAGTCCCGAGACACCTGGGTGTTAGTCGACCGTGCGTTAATCAAAGGCGCAAGAGTTCTTTCAGGGAAATGGGTCTTCCGCGTGAAGACCGCAGCGGACGGAATGATTGAGCACTTTAAAGCGTGTTGGGTGGTGCGCGGCTATGACCAGAGGCATGGCATCGACTTCGACCAGACGTTCGCTCAGTCAGCCGCCACACCTCCGTCCGCATCTTGCTCGCCATCGCAGCTGCAAGGCACCTACCTCTCCGCCAGATCGACGTGAAGAACGCGTTCCTGTACGCGTTAGTGGACGCCGTGATCTACGTGGAGCAGCCGCATGCATACGGCGAAGGGGACTCGCGCGTGTGTCAACTGCGCAAGTCGCTCTACGGGATCAAGCAGGCACCGAGGCTGTGGCAGCAGTATCTGCACAACATCCTGCTTGAAATCGGGTTCAAGCAGATGCCGCACGATCCAAGGTTGTACCGCCGCGATTTCCGCGGCGAATACATTCTCCTCACGGTGTACGTCGACGACCTGCTTTACACAGGCTCAAACAATGAGCTACTCGAGCAGTTCGAGAAGGCTTTGGCGGGGCGCGTCGACATCACGTGCAACTACGAAGTGAACAGTTCTTAGGCCTCAACATCTCCTACGCGCCTGAGGCCATTCACCTTTCAGCGGCTAAGTACGCAGAGGAGTTAGGGAAGCGGTTCAACATTTCACCTGCACCCCTCTCAACTCCCTACCGAACCCCTGGACCGAACCACAAACCCGACAACAAAGCCCTATCCCCTGCTGGAGTTCAGACTTACCAGCAGCAGCTGGGATGCCTGCTCTTCGCCTCTGTCACATGCAGGCTAGACCTCTCCTACTCGCAAGTCAGTTGGCCCAGTACTCACGCAAACCAACGGCTGAGAATCTTCTAGACCTACAGCGCGCCCTACAGTTCGTCATTTCAACGCCCAAGATTGGGCTGTGCTACTCAACTGCACCAACCCCATCCTTCAACCTCATCGGCTATGTGGACGCCGATCATGCAGCAGATCCCGACAATCGACGGTCAAGGACAGGCTTCATGTTCCGACTGGAACCATCGGGACCAATCTCCTAGAATTCGCAGAAGCAGAAGTTGGTCGCCCTGTCGTCAGCCGAAGCGGAATTTATCACAGCAACCGCAGCAGTTCGCGAATGCCTTTACTTGCAGGAACTTCTGCAGGAGGCGAAAATTCCAGTTTCGCCCACCTTTCGTCTTCACTGCGACAACCAGAGCGCGATCCGCATCAGGAACAAACCTGGTTTCGTCAACCGTGTCAGAATCCCAGTCACTAACCACTGGGATAAAAGGGCTTGTTTACATAGCGGGTGAGTGCGCCCATAACCCCCCAGGCTGACGTGCCTGTAACCCTTCCCTAGGATCATCGGGGATTTCCAGTGGACCTCTGACACCCCCCCGCACTGGGATGCCCGAAGTGCACACACCGGGAATCGAACCCGAGACCTTCGCTCTGATACCATGTCAGAATCCCAGTCACTAACCACTGGGATAAAAGGGCTTGTTTACATAGCGGGTGAGTGGGCCATAACCCCCCAGGCTGACGTGCCTGTAACCCTTCCCTAGGATCATCGGGGATTTCCAGTGGACCTCTGACAAACCGCACCAAGCACATTGCGCTGCGGTATTTCTTCGTGAAGGACGAGGTGGACAAGGGCAAGGTCAACTTGACTTATTGCCCGACAGGTGACATGGCAGCAGACTTCCTCACGAAGCGACTGCCACGCCAGCAGTATCAGCACTGCTCCGAACTCAGCGGCGTGGTCAAGCAGGTCAAGTCGAGCTACGGCCAGGAGTGAAGGGGGGTGTTACGAATAGTAATGAATGAAGAATACAGTGCACTCCCGACCGCAGCTAAGGAAGCATGCAGTATCGAGAACGAATGCGAAGAGTCAGAATTGACTCGAAACGTCAGACGGTTAGGATGCATCTGGACCGTCGGAGCAGACGGCATCGGGCAGCTGCAGGCGCGAGGGTTTTGGCGGGAACAGTTTCGTAACTCTATGCGCCGCACGGTTGGGGATAAATTTGAATAAAGGGAATATACCCTTTAGAGTACATGGCTAGTTAGGTCGTTTCGTATTCCCCTGTACTCTTATTTATATCGCTGTATTTGCATGTTTTAATCATCTCAAAGCATTTTACATTCACTCTGCTATTGAGGTCAAGGGCCCACCAACACTACCTCTCTGCGTGCGAACCTTCCCGAGTAGATTGTGGGCACGATCAACTTCTGATCGTAGCATAGTGAAACCTTGTTGCATAGTGGATACGATTGTTTACAAGGCACAATATATATATATCCTAACTGTCTATGTACCTCTAAGGGGTAAATTCCCTTATTAACCATAACGGCGGGCCCAGCGTGCACGTTTACTGTAATCGCAGGGACAGTTACGCCTGTCGCAACAGTTGACTTGCGGGTGTTGACCTGCGTGCACTATGTGGGCTAACGCGCTAATGGTACAATGACTTCTTTGACTGTAGCTAGCAAGTGCGATATTGCTGCACCTTCGGGAATGCTTAGGTAGTTCTCTTCTTACTCCACATACTGTACCATATACTTTTTGGCATACCATAAACTGTTTGTTTACAGGTCATCTAGCCAAGCCGAAACCTCTTGGGCTAACTTTCGTATATCCACCAAAGCACTTGACTTCACTCCTTGAGCAATGGCATCAACCGGTGAGAAAGCATCCTGAACCGGCCACGACACATCCTGCATATACAGCACACATACAGTAACAATAACATAAGAGAAAGAAACAATCTACACCCTCTACCACCAAAGCACCATTGCATAGATAACTGGTAGGCAGGCAGGATGTTCAATAAGAAACCATACCGGAGCCAGGGGGGTGGCGTGAGAGCCCTCAAGCAGCAGAGTGGAAAGAGAGCCGCCAATCTCCTCCATGCGCCCCGTGAGAATAGGCTCCAGCTGGTCCGTCTCATCTAAGGTGTCCACTGAGAACTTGATCTATGGGGAGGGAGACGCGAGAGGAAGGAGATGCGGGAGGACAGGTTGTCTTGTGGGCGGATGGAGTAAAATCACAAGTGAGAATGGGCTCCAGCTGGTCCGTCTCGTCTAAGGTGTCCACCGAGAACTTGATTTGCGGGAGGGAGAAGATGTGCGAGGGCAGTTGTTTGCCGAACAGGCTATTTGGTAAGTGAGGATGGGAGGTGTGTCCACATATGAAGGAGATGGGGGAAAAAGGAGAAGATTAGGTAAAACATCACAGATTTTTTTTTTTTTTTTTTCTTCAATCAAATAGAGCATGGACAACCCAGAGGGCTCATATGCGGGGGAGGAGAAGGCACGCACCAGGAGGAAGAGGCACGCACCAGGAGGAAGAGGCACGCACCAGGAGGTTCCGAGGGACGGCATATGAGGAGGCAATAAGCTTCCTGGTCTCCGCCGGTGGTGGTGTGAACTCCGACACCCCGTCCCGCACCTGGTGGCGTGTGGACAGGTGGACAGGTGGACACGTGGACAGGTGGACAAGTGGACAGGTGGACAAGTGGACAGGTGGACAAGTGGACAGATGAATAGGTGGACAGGCAGACTGGCAACACTGTATTGTAACATTGCTACCTCCTTAGTGCCATCTGCCTGGCTGGTAACCACATCAGCACCTTTTGCATGCAGTAACCTTTCACAAGTGGTAACCTCACATTAGTCCATACAGCCATACGGAAAACCTTAGATATTCTATGGTAACCCCACATGTCCTATGTGGGCAGAGTGGTAGCTGCCTTCACCCGTCCCTTCTAAACATGTAACAACACCTGTCTCACATGACCATGTGGTAACCATGCGGGTGAGGCATTGGTAATGCATGTGAGTGGATGCGGTAACCACACCTGTCCCACGTGTGTGAGGTATTGGTGATGCATGTGAGTGGAGGTGGTAACCGCACCTGTCCCACATGTGTGAGTTATTGGTGATGCATGCGAGTGGAGGTGGTAACCGCACCTGTCCCACATGTGTGAGGTATTGGTGATGCATGTGAGTGGAGGTGGTAACCGCACCGCACCTGTCCGAGCACGGGTGGGATCTGTTCAAGGAAGCGGCCGAGAGGGTCAAGGTCGTTCCTCACCACTCCCGGTGGCAGCGGAATGCTGCTGCGCTGCAGAGCTTCCAACGCCTGCTCTGTGCACAGGCAACACGGAAGGGTGGGATGAAGAGGGGTGAGACGGGATGGGGTGAAGAGGGGTGGGATGGGATGGGGTGAAGACGGGTGGGATGGGATGGGGTGAAGAGGGGTGGGATCGGATGGGATGAAGAGAGGTGGGATGGGGTGTCAAAGAAGCAACCTGCGCTGCAGGACTTCCATCCAACACCTGCTCTCTAACAGGCTCAAGAGAAGTTCAGGGTGGGATGGGTACAGTGAGGTGGGGTGTGGTGGGGTACGGTGCGTTGGAGGGCCACGTGGTGGGGGTGGACAAAGCAAGTTATAAAAGAGCTCCTGCTCTGCCAGTGGCTTCATTGGAGGCAGGGTGGTATGGGGTGCACTGATCGCCTACCTGCCACGCTGATTGCTTACCTGCCACACTCAGCGCAATGCCAGTGAGAGGAAAGGCCTCAATGGCTGGAGCTAGCTGCTGCACTGCTGGCCCCATCTGAACGGGGGTGAGAAAAGAAAAGATTGATGGGGCGGGGGGGGGGGGGAGAAGAGAAGAGATTGACAGGGTGCAGACAGACGAAATGCCAGAGAGAGGGAAGGCCTCAATAGCTGGAGCTAGCTGCTGCACTGCTGGCCCCATCTGAAGGGGTGTGAGAAAAAAAGAGATTGATAGTAGGGGGGTGAGAAGAGAAGAGATTGATAGGAGGGGTGTGAGAAGAGAAGAGATTGATAGGAGGGGTGTGAGAAGAGAAGAGATTGATAGGAGGGGGGTGAGAAGAGAAGAGATTGACAGAGTGCAGACAGGAGGGGGCCGAACTGAGGGAAATGCTTGTGAAAGGAACGGCCTTGAGGGTTGGGGCCTGGCCATTGTTGAATGCTTCGAGAATTTTGAGTCGGACCTTAGCAGGAAACTTGCAGGCATGTGTTTGCCCAATGCCCACCTCACCTCACCTCACCTCACCTCACCTCACCTCACCTGGTCGAAGTACGGCACTGCGAAAGACGCCGGGCGGTTGTTGAATGCTATGATCACATTGGCCTGGAGGGGAGGGGGGAGAGAGACGATGAGGGAGAACGGGAGAAGGGGGAGAGAGCGACAGGAGGGGAAGAAAGACAGGAGGGAGAGCGAGACAGGAGGGAGAGAGAAACACGCAGGAGCGCATAGGTTGGTCACTTTCACTACCACCGACCTTACCGTCACACAGTAGGAAATGCAAGGCGTACTACCACCGTCTTAGAGGGTGGTGGACGTGGTAGTCGGTCCACTTCATCAGATGCACATTCCCCTCCTCCCCGTCCCGTGCACACACGAGACTTCACATGCAACCACCTCGGGCAGGCAGTGTTTGGTTGGTCTGACCACCCTTACCACTGCAATCAGGTAGCAATGGCGGCGGTTACCTTCCTTTGGAACTGGATGGGAGTAACTTACATCCCAACTGCGCGGCCCTTTCTCCCTTCTCGGACCCCATGCACATAACATGACACGGAACAGCACCTTCCGACACAAACCTCAGGCATCCGGTCTTTGTTTGCCTGAACACGCTTGCCACTGCAATGGGGTAGCGGTGGGACTTGATGGGACCTGGTGGGAGTAACTTACATCCCAACTGCGTGCGACCACGTTTTTCCCTCCCTCCCCCTCCACTCCCCTGTGCACATGACACGGACCTTCACCTCCCTTCACCTGCCCTCACCTGCCTTGACCTCCCTCCACCTGCCTTCACGTGCCTGAACCTGCCTTCACTTCACCTCCCTTCACCTCCCTTCACCTCCCTTCACCTCCCTTCACCTCTCTTCACCTGCCTTCACCTCCCTTCACCTGCCTGCACCTGTCTGCACTCACCTCAGGCAGGCGGTCTCTCTTGGTGGTGGCGAGACTGCCCATCAGCAGCTGCATGAGGGCCCCGTTGCTGGGAAAGGGGAGGGAAAGGGTGATCAGGGAGAAACGATGGGGTGATTGAGAAGGGGAACAGTAAATGCAAGTGATGGGCACGGGGAATGGGGTGGAGAGGTTGCCCATGAGCAGCTGCATCAGAGTGCCATTGCTGGAAAAAGTGGAGGTGGGGTTGGGGTGCAGGGCGGGATAAAGACGTGATTGGGACAAGAAACGGAGGAGAGTGATGAGCACTGCTGCTATGAGTGGGGGGAGACGGAAGAGAGGAGTCCTTTCAGACAGGTAGTGGGGGATGCTTCAGGACGAGAAGATTCTTTTGTGTCCCAATCACGCTCACGCCACATCACACTCCTTTCAAGGTTTCAGTAGGGAAGGGAGAGTGATGAGTACTGTTGTTATAAATGACACGGGTACAGGGGATAGTGCAGTGCGCGGGCGATGGCCAGAATGGATAGAGTGGGATGATAAGGACAAGGAAGGGATGACCCTCGACAAACTGGCTCCTATGCCCAGATGCAAGAATTTTGGAGAGTGGGAGATAGAGCGGCCATGGGCAGACGGGCGGAGGGCCAGAGGAACAATAAGGACTTATAACATGCTGTGCTGTGTGGCCATATCTCTATATTCACCCGACGTTGGATACGAGGATTTACAGCATGAGGATTTACAGCATGAGGATTTACAGCATGAGGATTTATAGCATGAGGATTTACAGCATGAGGATTTACAGCATTAGGATTTATAGCATGAGGATTTACAGCATGAGGATTTACAGCATGAGGATTTATAGCAATGATCGTACCTGTGTCCTACACTGTAGACTGGCAGACCGTCCACGTCAGCAGCAGAGATCCCTGCGGAGGGCAGCCCGTGCAGCTGGAGCAGATCGAGTGCTGACGTGGCACGGGCGTGCAGGCCAGCAGCTGCTGCCACGTGGTCGAAGGTGATTGGATTAGGCACAGCCACTACCAGATAGCCGCCCTTTGCAAGAAGGTCCAGAAAGTAGCTGCGGTTGTGGGTTGGGTGGGAAGAAGGAGAGCGGACATGGGGTAAGCAGGAAGAGGGCAAATAGAGTAGTATGGGACAATGGAAACGTGAACAAGGGGAGAAGGGCAGGATGTAGAGAGATAGGAAGAGAGGCGGCGGGACGGGGGCGGCGGGACGGGGGCCCTACAGGCCTGGGATAGAAACAAGATGGATAGCTTGCTGTATGGGGACTAGGATGGTGTGGTATGGAGGTAGCAAGGTGCATAGAGTGGAGGCGGGCCGACCTGAACCGACCCGAACTGACCCGACCCAATCGAACCCCACCCGCCCAGAACTGACCCGACCCCGACCCGCCCCCAACTGACCCGGCCTGACACAATGCGACCCGACTCGATCCAACCCAACCCGACCTGTCCCGGCTCGGCTCAACCCGACCCGACCCAACCCGCCCGACCCGACCTGAACTGACCCGGACCAGACTCGAACCGATCAGACCTGTAGAAGACGTCTGGCGAAGCTCCCAGGAAGGCGCCTCCGAAGAAGGTGATAATTCCTTTGAGCGGCTGGCGGCGCGGGCTAGTGGGCGGGGCGCACGCGAAGCACTCGCCAAGCTGGTGCAATTCTGGCCGTGCGATGGGGAGTAGGCTGAAATCTGGGTCGTCAATTTGCTGAGAGAAGAGCGCTGCTGAGAATGAGAGAATAGCAGGGGGGAAGGAGGAGTTGTGTAAGGACAAAAATTGGAATATCTGAAATAAAAACAATAGATGCGGGTGTGATGAAAAATGAATTAGACACGGACATGGGGGCATTGGAACAAGAGCATCGAGGGGGGGGGGGACTAGAGCATGAATCAACCGCTCGAGAGGATGGCATGATGGCATGAGACGAACCAGATGGAGAGGACGTGGAAATTCTCCGCCGACTGATAGGAAGCCTTCCCGCTGAAAGCTGGTGATGAATCTTTATACTAGATGCGCGCTTGGACATTGATGTCAATACCGGAACTTGAATGAGAGCTTGTATGGGGGATAGAAAGCGAACTTGCGCTACTGACGACGGATTGGACTCTGGGAATCGCGATGGCGAAAACGGGTTTCTGGAGAACGCGCAGATCGCGCAGCGAGCTGTTTCAGCCATGGCGGAGACCAACCAGAGCTGAGAATTCTAAAAGCCCACTTCTCTGCTTCTTGCGCGCACAGAATAGCGCGGAAGCGTAACACCGATTCTCGGCGTACACGTCCTAGCCGTCCTAATGCGTGCTCGTGCGTCAGAATCAACTACAAGACAGCACGCAGTCGGAAACCAAGTCCGTTAATCAAGTCGCTGCGAAGCTGACAGCGTTCTATCACAGCCTATAGCTATTGAACGACTGTCTAACGGCTAGAATGAGCTCGCAAGGCTGTGGGAAACCACCTTGCAAGCAGCAATATTCTTAGAGGGGAAATTGGTGGTGGTGGGTGTGTGTCACGAAACAACTCGCCTGTGGCAATGTGCTCCGTTCACGAACGATCGCGAAAAAGAATTGTGGACGAGAGGTGAGCATCATGCCACGTAAGGGATGGTTTGGCGAATTTAGATGCACTTCGTGAATCGACGTGGTCCATCGGATAACCAAACCAACTGCTCGCAGGTTCTGTTCTCTATGGGCGGTGCGCTGGAGAACTTCAATTGCGGCTCTTCGTTACATGTATAAGAGGCCAGCACACTTTTAGGATGTAAATGGCAATCTTAAAAGTGCTCATCGTATTTTGGGCATCCTGTTGCTGGAAGGGAATCATCTCGAAACTCGCTGACGACACCAGCCGATGCACCAGAATTACCTCGCTCCTTCGGCCGCCTTCCAGCTTTCGTCCTCTTGAGCGCCAGTGGGTCCGGGCGAGAGTGCGGTGGGTGACGCGAAGCGATCGACAGGCGGCATTGTGGATTCGCGCTGCCCTCAGCGCAAAACAGCCATTGTCAGCATTTCTTATAAATACCGCCACTAGGGAACCGCCCGTCGAAGAAGCGTACCTAGAAGGCACCGCTGCGTTCCCATGTCCCTCGGTCGACGCGTGTTGTGTTTGACATCAGCCGCTGAACGGGCTTTCCTGGCTTCCGCAGTGATTCCACGCGTCGGAGCACCGAGGGTCAGTAGTACCGCTCTTGTTTCACCGTCTTTTCCGGCCCAGGTCGACGAGAAAAAGGCGTACAATCGCTCGAAGCGCGGCCCGAAAGGCTGCTCATTTAACCGCGTCATCGATAACTCCTCGCTGCGTAGGGAAGTGGCCGATTCTTGCAAAGGAAACAACGCCAGGGTGACACGTGGCATTGTTACAATGGCCACGGCGGGAGGTGATGCCGGCGGGAGCAGCAGCGCTGCTGCGGGTGCGGTCGGGGCGGACGAGGGGGTGGGGGAGATTCTCGCGTTCTGGTTTGGAGACTTCATGCGGCCTGGATATAACGTAAGCAGCGATTTTTGTATTATTGTTGTTTTCTTATGACGCACCCGGCACTACAGCCGGCATTCTGGTGTGCGAGCTTGTTAAGGAGGGAGATGTGAGGGAGATTCTTGCTTATTGGTTTGAATTTCATGTTCCAGTCACCATGCAATGGTCCATCCTTGCGCAAATCTCCGTCCGTCTCTGCCATTGCCGCTCCAAACTAATGGAAACGTGCTACTCCCCTTGCTCCCTCCCTCTACTGTTGCAACCCTCGCAGGGCCCGCCTCCTGCACCGTCAGACGAGGTAGCCAAGGCGCGTGTGTGGTTCAGCAAGAATGATGACGTGGACGCTGTCATTCGCACGCGATTCGCACCGCTCATCCCGCTCGCCGCGTCAGGCCAGCTGGCGGCCTGGGAGGACACGCCACGTGGCGCTCTCGCATTGCTGGTGCTGCTTGATCAGTTCACGAGGAACAGCTTCAGGGGCTCGCCAGAGGCTTTTGCACAGGTAGCACCGCCTTTCCTTCTTCGACCTTGTTGCTCATGCGTAGAGTTTTGTTGCAATTTCGTAAGGTAAGTCAAGTTCAAGAGAAACAGCTTTAGGAGCTCCACAGAGGCGTTTGCACCGGTCAGCACCTGCTGCATCTGGAGAACTAGTATATGTTTTTACCGAGTACAATGCTTAGTTTCTGTTCATGTATATCTTGGTGTTATGTTCTCCCTACCCAATTTCATTTTCATACTTTTATGTTCTTTGCTCTTCGGTACCATGTTGCTGTGGAGGTTGCAATGCAAAAACAATAATACATTTTCTTCAATCGCTGCAATATGTTTGCATTTCTTGCTTATCTCATTGTACATGTTCTTCTCTCTCCAGGACCACCTTGCTTTGGAGATTGCTAAGCGGTGAGTTTCTCTATCACCTTTCTGGTACCAACTCTATTCTTCTATCTCATATTTACGCTCTTCTTGTGGGCCCATCAAGTAAACAACCGTAGAAAAGAACTTCTTTATCCTCAGCATGCTCTGCTTCTTATATTTGCGGAGAAAAAGTTTCTGGACAATATTATCTAGCAGATCACTCTGGAACCAGCCATCACAGCACACCTATTTCATCTCATCCTGACCTCCAACACTCTCCTCTGTCTTGACGTGAAAAGAAACAGGCACTTTCTCCTCACTCTCTCTCATAAGTAAGTTGGGTATTCTTTTTCTGGTCCCACGCATGCAGGGCCATTGACAAGGGTTTTGACCGGCAGGTGCCCGCAGTTGGTCGGCCTTTCTTCTACCTGCCGTTTGAGCATGCTGAAGGTACGAAAATATGTTTTGTTGAAGTGACTTATTCAGCTGAAGCTACCTTGAAGTTTTTTGCATTCTTCTACCTGCCGTTTGAGCATGCAGAAGGTACGGCTTTTCCGTCATGTGCCAGCTCATTCCCCTTTGCGTATTAGCATTCAGAGGCTTACCCACCTCCCTGTGGTCATCCTGTGGCTGGCTTGTGTTCTTTGGTTCATATGCCTGCTCCCCACAGATTTGGCAGCACAGGATAGATGTATCGAGCTGATGACTCAAATGGTTGAAGATGCTCCTGAAGGTCCCGTGAAGGGATTTTTTATTGGAGGTTTGAATTTCGCACACAAGCACCGGGATATTATCGTCAAGTTTGGTCGGTATCCGCACCGGAATGATGTTTTGGGAAGGGAGAGCACACCCGCAGAAGTGGAGTTCATGAAGACGCATGGTGGCTTCTAGATATAATGTGGTAGTAGAGCTTTTTGCCATGGTTCAGCATTCTGCCTATAATTTATCCTCTTATTTGGTCACCCGTGCTCTATGTTGAAGACATGACATTCTGTATCGGACAGATCCAATCACAAGATCTTCGGGTGCACAGAGCCAACGTGGCAGTAGACGTTTTTGTCCACGTATGTAAGAATATTGCCCCTCATAATCACAGGCGTATGAGTATTCTCCACGACATCTATGAACAACGCCAGGTATGAAGGACGAATTCGATGTTTTCGGTTCTTCTTTTCCGAAGGCCTTGACCCAGTTGCAAAAATGCGGGTTCACAGAAATTGTTGACTGCAGTACTCCTAAACTGCAGTTGTAGTTTACACCGCAACTTGGAGAGCGCATTGGGTGCGAGTTTAGCATGTTCCGAATACTCAGCTATATTTTGTATGGAGAATCCAACCATCGAGCCCCCCAACAGCTCAACGCATCTATGTTTATACCCTCCAACTCCGTCAGCTGAACCTGACCAGAAAGCAACCCTCCGCCTCCCTTCCTCCCCAACCGTGCCTTTCGCGACCAGCTCAACCTGAAGTACCCGTCAGCCAATCTTCACCACAACAAGTGTAGTCATTCCAGCTCAATCTAAAACCTATCCGCTAATAACGTAGGCCGTTCTAAATTGGTGCCAAGGGCCTAAGCGAGTCGGAGTCGGATTGCGCGTCACATTTTTCAAGGTGAGAAAGTTGTTTTGTTGACATGTGTGGAAGCCAACCGATGTCATTCCTGTTTAGTTGGATTAATCACTCTGAGGCTTTTGAATGTGCTCGCGGGCCATCCCACTGTTAATATCCGGTAGCTAGCAGAAAGGTATGTCCATTCACGCTGGTCGCTCTTGAACTGTTGAGTGCATGCTTTGAGATACCACGGCGTCGTTACTCACCTCAACATCGTAAATGTAAAAAATTGTCGCTTAAAGCTGCCATTTTGTTGTGCCCTTCATTGTCTAAGTCTCAAGTTGAGGAAAACGCAGAGAGCGTGACTGTAAATGTTAGAAAACGGTCCCTCATCAAGGGAGGACGAAGAACTGTAGAGATTGTAGCCGGACATATGAAGTTGCATCACAATTGCGCATCATTTCGGCCACATTGTCTGCCAACGGCTGCTGCTTCCGTGCTCCTGTGAATTCCCTCCTCGCTGCGGTACTCACCTCGTCCCGTTTTCCGTTCCTCCCCTTCCATCCTGTCCATCCCCCTTTCCGCTTCTCCTCATCAGAGCCATGGCCGCTCATAGCTCCTCCGACTTCCTGCAAGGGGCCCTCGCCCTCGCCTGCACGCTCCCCCCTCCCAGCAGCGCGCACTACTCCGCCTCCGCGCCCGCCCTTCCCGCAGATTCCGCTGTCCTCCCCGCCTCCGCGCTCCCCTTCTCCCCACTCTCTCACTCCCTCCTCCGCATGAGCGCAACCACCAAGCCGCTCACGCTCCGCGCCACCTCCCCCTCCCCGCTCCGCGACCTCCAGCGAATCACCGAGCGCCACGTGGCACTCGCGCGCCAGTTCGCGCTTGGATTCGCGCAGGAGGTGGCGGAAGCCGCATTCGACCACCTTGCTGACGTGTACTACGCGCTCATGCTGCTGGGGGAGCGCCTCCGCCTCCCCCTCCCCGGTTCCCCCTCCGCCTCCTCGTCCGCGGAACCCCTTCACCTGCTCATGAAGCAATCGAACGCGCCTTTCGCCGCCGTGATTCCCGGCGATACTGTAGCGGAGCTGGTGGTTACACAGGGAATCTACAGCTTCCTTAACCTGTACAACACCGTGCTTATAGTGAGGATTCTCCTCACCTGGTTCCCCAACGCGCCATCCGCCATCGTCAGCCCCCTCAGCACTATCTGCGACCCCTACCTGAACATTTTCCGAGGGTTAATTCCCCCAATTGGGGGCACCCTCGATCTATCCCCGATTCTGGCCTTTGTGGTGCTCAGCGCGTTCACCAACGCGTCCGTCGCCCTGCCCGCGGAAATGCCCGAGGTGGGGGCTTCGGGGGAGTTTGTGGCGGGGGGAAGGGGCGGAATGCTGGGCGGCAGGCGCAGGCGGCCTGTGAGGCTGACGCGGGAGCAGAGGGAGAAGATGCGCGCAGCGTCGAGAGCAGCTGAGCAGGGGCAGGAGGCGTAGAGAGCTAGGGAAGGTGGTAGTTCTGGGATTGCGGATTGCTGCTGTGGTTGCTCTGGCTGGTCGGAGGAGTCTGTTGTTGGGGAGCTGATTCTATAGAGATAAATGTTATCAGGCTCGAGAATAGTGGCAGGGAATGGTGGGTTTGTGTGAAGCAGATGAGCAGCACGAGGGGAGATGTGCTGGTGATGATGCCTGGAATGGTTGTGTTGATGTACATTTGCGGTTGCAGGACACGGGAGGAGGAGATGAGAGGGATTTCAGGGCTGGACAGGGGAGCAGAGGGCATTAATAGTGTTGGGGTTGTGTGCATATGGCAGGACACTGTTGGGGATTACCGTCAAGGCCAATGCATCAGATTGTTTATGACCATTTTCGTTTTTCATTTCTGATTGCTTTGCATCAATTACAGCATAAGGAATTTGATCAAGTCTTCTACAATGTTCTGTAATGAATCGGAAATGGATGAACAAACGGTAAGGGTGTGCTTTTGCAACTACCGTCTTTTCCCGGATATAAGACCCGGGGGACTTTATAAAAATTCAGTATATAATGGTAGGGTGAACATCATGCTGGCTGGAAATTGATAAGACCCCTGGACATCTATTTTACTCATAAGGGACCGATTTTCACTATACAGTGATTTTTTTCTACCAGAATCGAACCTAACTAAACAGCAATCGCGAAAGTACCAAGTCAAACCTTTGATCTGACACGGTCAATGCGTCAGATTCGAGTCTGACGCATTGATCGCGTCAGAATTTCCCTGAATCAGCCTAAAAACTGATTCGTGAATGTTGTAAAACACTGGAAACTGCACATTCTACACCAACGAGGGGGGTCTTCAAATGTTTAATAGCAAAAGGGGGGTCCTCACAGATTAGACCATATTAAGTGAACACCCCCCCGCATATAAGTCCCATGGGACTTTTATTTCGGAGGGTCTTATATCCGGGAAAAGACGGTACCAACCAACTGATGAGGAAATGGAGGGAACACAACCCTTGCATTGTGCCATGATGGCTGTGACCCTGCTAGGGTGCAAGAGTCAGACACACACAACAACACAACCCAGAGTTTGCATGGAGAAGTTGTGTGGTACAGCACAGGCTCCTATTTCTTGGAACGATACGGTTGTACCATATGGATGATCACAGATAACCACGAATCACAGTACCGTACGAGTTGGTTAGAAACAGCACATTCGCATTCCATGTAGAAAAGCTCTAACACTAATATTTCTTTTGCAGCAGAACCCTGTTATCCTTGAAGCACACCACACACCGAGTCCTCTTGAGCACATCCATTCCCACCACTGCCCCCGTTCCCATCACTGCCAGGGCAGGCAGGTCCCCCACTATCATGGGGTGGCTTGTAAAGGGGATACGGCCGCCCGACGTCCCTGCTGGCCCTCCTTGCTTCGTTATAAGGAACAGATCCGCGATTGCTCCTCCCATTTGTGTTGTTCCACCTCCCACATCCACCATTGATGCTACACCCTGGGAAAAAAGAAGATAAGGGAGAGAAGTGGGGAGGAACATGCGAGAAAACGAAGGCACAGTTTCGGATGTGAAATCTCTAGAAACTAGCAATACCTAAGGTCTCTTGACTAAATTACCAGTTACCACAAACTATAATTCATCCCTAGAGTGATTGTTGGTTCACCAACACTGGTTGCATTAGGCAAGAATGGGTAGTGCCAAGAAGTGTGGGAGCAAAATGAAGCAGACAATGGCTGTTACAAAGGAAAAAACAGGATCCACAGGATAACTAAAGTAGATCAACTTTTACCTCTAAAGTGGTTGCTGCATTAAGCCTGTCTGGCGACGATGGTGGTTGCGAGTAGGAGTTTTGCAACATTGGTGGCTTGTATTATAGTTCTAATATTACCGGTGGTTATGATTGTGGTTTGTATGGAATCGGTGGTTGATGCCTAAGGTTTTCAGTAAGAAATCCAATACGGTTTGTACAAGTCGGTTGTTTTTTTTTTTGCCAACTCACAATGCTGGAGGGAGTGACACCAGCACGAGAAGCCACTGCAGTGGTGATAAGGCTGAGCCCAGACCCCATGTCCAGAATCGCTGTCTCTAAGTGCTTGCCATTCACCGAGATCTGTGTAAGAGAGGCGAGGGGTGGGGAGTGGAACGAGGAGACGAGGGAGAGCATGGAAACGGAGGAGGCTGCGCCCAGACTCCATGTCAAGAATCGCTGTCTCCAGGTGCGTGCCATTCACCGAGATCTGTGCTGTGTCAGAGAAATGAGCGGTGGGGATGGAGGTGATGAGAAAGATGAGGGTTATGTGAGAGGAGTGGGGAGGAAAGGGAAGAAGAAATGAGGAAGAGAAAGGAAAAGGACGAGGCTGAGGCCAGACCCCACATCAGGAATAACTGTCTCCAGGTGTCGGGCATTCATCGAGACCTGTGTGAGGGAGGCTAGGGGTGAGAGATGAGAAAACAAGAAACGGCAACTTTTTGCTGATAAAACCCAGGATTATGCCTATGGGTGGGCGATGAGAGGTGGGAGGTGGGAGGTGGGAGGTGGGAGGTGGGAGGTGGGAGGTGGGAGGTGGAGGGTGAGAAAAAGCCAGCCCTCTCACAGGCAACATACCAGTTAGGCAAATGTAGACACGGGCAGCACTTGCAAAAGCAGCTCACTCCAACTGCAGCTCACCTGGACAGTGGGCAGGTTGAAGGGAACAGTGGCTGGAGCGAGCATGGCCAGCCCCTCAAAATCCAATCCCTGCGAGGCAGCAGCCGCAGCAGAGGGCGGAGGGGGGATGGTGCCTCCTGCTGTCCACTTGCCTGCTGCTGCCAGCGCTGCACCTGGGAGGCGAACAAGTGGGGGATGACGGTGAGGAATTGGGGTGAGGGGAGGGAAATTGTGGGGTAAGAAAAGTATGAGGGAGTGTGATGTAGGAGTCAGGAATAGGAGAATTGGGGGATAGGGGAAGTGAAGGATAGCGGGAGTGAGGGACAGGGGAAGTGAAGGATGGAAGGAGCTAGGGAAAGAGGGAGTGAGGAACAGAAGGCGATTGGTGAGGGATGGAAGGCAATTGCAGGGGATAGAAGATTATCATGAGCGACAAATGGAGGAATGCTGACGGATAAAAGAATGGCCAGAAAATAAAAAACAACAAACAATGTTGCTCTCACCTTAGTGCATGATGGTGAGAGTGTTGCTGTCACCTGAGTGCATGATGGTGAGGGTGCTGCTGGGGAAGTCAAAGTCCATGTCAAGGGCAGACAGGAACGACAGCCCCACAATCCCCGCCACCGAACCAGGCAGGCCTGTGTACTGTAGGTCCAGCACCACTGCTTGCATCGGCCCGAACCTAAACTCCCCGAGCCTCACATCCGGCAGCAGCAGCTCCCGGCCCTGCTTCCCCTCCGGCCCCATGCCTCCCAGCCCCTGCGTCATCCTGCCCTCGTTAGTAGACAACCCGATAGTGCCATAAGCGAAATCCGGGGAGACGAGGGTGGTGCTGCTACCGGTGTCTAGGAGGAAATCAAAGGGGCCCTTCCCGGCGACTTCTAGGGGCAGGATAACGTATTCCCGAGGCTCTCTGGCAGTGGTGGCGAGGCGACGCATGGGCATGCGCAGGATGACGCCTTGGGAGGCGGACGACGGGGAAGTGGGGGAGGGGGAGGGGGAAGGCGAGGCCTCTGGGGTTCTGCTGCCGCTGCTGGAGCTGCTGCTGCAGCTGCTGCTGCTGATGGTGGTGGTGGATTGAGGAAAAGCAGCAGCGGAGGGTGAAGCTGAGAGGCGATGGGCAACGAGCAAGGCGACCAGCTGGTCCTTGTCAAACACTCCCCGCGTGCTGATTCCTAGGAGGGTGCACAGAGGGGAATGGTACAGAAAGTGTGATGCAAGGAGGGTGAAGTGAAGAAGTGGAACACATGCGATGGGCAACGAGTAAGGCGACCAGCTGGTCCTTGTCAAACACTCCCCGCGTGCTGATTCCTAGGAGGGTGCACAGAGGGGAATGGTACAGAAAGTGTGATGCAAGGAGGGTGAAGTGAAGAAGTGGAACACATGCGATGGGCAACGAGCAAGGAGACCAGCTGGTCCTTGTCAAACACTCCCCGCGTGCTGATTCCTAGGAGGGTGCACAGAGGGGAATGGTACAGAAAGTGTGATGCAAGGAGGGTGAAGTGAAGAAGTGGAACACATGCGATGGGCAACGAGCAAGGAGACCAGCTGGTCCTTGTCAAACACTCCCCGCGTGCTGATTCCTAGGAGGGTGCACAGAGGGGAATGGTACAGAAAGTGTGATGCAAGGAGGGTGAAGTGAAGAAGTGGAACACATGCGATGGGCAACGAGCAAGGAGACCAGCTGGTCCTTGTCAAACACTCCCCGCGTGCTGATTCCTAGGAGGGTGCACAGAGGGGAATGGTACAGAAAGTGTGATGCAAGGAGGGTGAAGTGAAGAAGTGGAACACATGCGATGGGCAACGAGCAAGGAGACCAGCTGGTCCTTGTCAAACACTCCCCGCGTGCTGATTCCTAGGAGGGTGCACAGAGGGGAATGGTACAGAAAGTGTGATGCAAGGAGGGTGAAGTGAAGAAGTGGAACACATGCGATGGGCAACGAGCAAGGAGACCAGCTGGTCCTTGTCAAACACTCCCCGCGTGCTGATTCCTAGGAGGGTGCACAGAGGGGAATGGTACAGAAAGTGTGATGCAAGGAGGGTGAAGTGAAGAAGTGGAACACATGCGATGGGCAACGAGCAAGGAGACCAGCTGGTCCTTGTCAAACACTCCCCGCGTGCTGATTCCTAGGAGGGTGCACAGAGGGGAATGGTACAGAAAGTGTGATGCAAGGAGGGTGAAGTGAAGAAGTGGAACACATGCGATGGGCAACGAGCAAGGAGACCAGCTGGTCCTTGTCAAACACTCCCCGCGTGCTGATTCCTAGGAGGGTGCACAGAGGGGAATGGTACAGAAAGTGTGATGCAAGGAGGGTGAAGTGAAGAAGTGGAACACATGCGATGGGCAACGAGCAAGGAGACCAGCTGGCCCTTGTCAAACACTCCCCGCGTGCTGATTCCTGGGAATGTGGGTGCAAGAGACAACACGCACAAAGAACTTGTGTGCACGAATTGGAGAAAGCACTCCCCACGTGCTAACGCTTGGGAGGGAGAGCAATGGGACACAGAGTGTGATGTAAGGAGCGTGAAGCAGCGCAACACATGCGATGGGCTATGAGCAAGGAGACCAGCCGGTCTTTGTGAAACATTCCCCCGCGTGCTGATGCCTGAAGAGTGTCACGGCAACGAACGATTATTTTATTGTCCGAAATCGGTCTAAAATGTTCAGAATCGAGTGCTGTGCTGCGCTGTGCTGTGCTGTTGTATTATGTCTGCTGTTTTGTACTGCTGTGTTATGTCTGCTGTTTTGTACTGCTGTGTTATGTCTGCTGTTTTGTACTGCTGTGTTATGTCTGCTGTTTTGTACTGCTGTGTTATGTCTGCTGTTTTGTACTGCTGTGTTATGTCTGCTGTTTTGTACTGCTGTGTTATGTCTGCTGTTTTGTACTGCTGTGTTATGTCTGCTGTTTTGTACTGCTGTGTTATGTCTGCTGTTTTGTGCTGCTGTGTTATGTCTGCTGTTTTGTGCTGCTGTGTTATGTCTGCTGTTTTGTGCTGCTGTGTTATGTCTGCTGTTTTGTGCTGCTGTGTTATGTCTGCTGTTTTGTGCTGCTGTGTGCTCTGCACCTCTTGCTGCATGAGTGGATGCTGAGTGTTCCCTGACCTGAGTCACTTGCATACTAAACAATCTGCTGCTTCTGTACAGAGGTACAGGCCTTACCAGGGTTACCACACACCAGGTTCATCGTACCTAGACGGTCATACCCAGGCTCTCGAGCTCCTTCTTGATCTCCCGCGCTCGCATCGCCTCCACTGCAGCCTGCACAGCTGCGGCTGTAGCGGCTGTAGCGGTCTCTCCTGCTCCGTCTCCCTGGGCGCTGCTCATGACACTTCGCCTTCTCTTGCCATTGCCTGTAAGTTTTGTAACGGAGGTGACAGTCACTACATGGCAGTGAACGTAACTTCTGAATGTTGTTACGACAGAACATTATCAGCAACGAGGGATAGGCAATCGCTTCTGACATATAAATTCTTATCCAAATTTGACCCCAATCGGTCTCCGTCACCCAGCGGGACGAACCTCGAGCTGATAAGGATCGCACGGTGGTTGGCTGCTGGGTCCAACTGAAGTCGCCGCATCCCAGACGCTCAATCTCCACGTCAGCGCAGCGGATAATCACTGGCTGGCTGGCAAGCATCGCCTGGCGCGATTCGCGCACTAAGATCGCTTGCGAGCCTCGCACACTTGGTAATGTCGCCGTAAACAATTTCGCCGGCCGTCGCAACCGCGAACACCGCGGCGCCTGCCTCTGCGCCCCCACGGTTCTCGTTAGCCGCAGCTCCGAAGCTGCGAAAGGAATAGTCGCTATACAGCGGCTTCTTGGCGGATGTACCGCGCAAGTCACGGTGGGGCTACTTCCAATGTGGACGGTCGCCATTGTCTCAAGCTTCTTCGGAACCTCAGGACATGCCCATAATGAGACGAGTCCAATTGACGTCGCTGTACGACGGCTCACTTTATTGTAGGAGTCGACTACTACTGTGCTTTCATTTCGTCATGGTAGGGTGCACTATTACAACTATATTAAACTCACAATCTGGGACGCCCTAATCAATGTCAGTATTACCACACAAGCTCCACAAAGGAGACACTAAACAGACTTCATGTACAGTTTTCGATTTCAGAGGCATAATGGCCTAATTTCGCGCCCAGCTTTAACTACTCGGCTTCAGAAGACCAGCTTGATTTTGGCATCAGCACAGCACCCCAACAACTGCAACCCGTTGCAAAGCTGGCAATAGTTGCAAATGAAATCTCGACTGCACGTTGTTATGGCTGCTGAGGAGCTTGCTCAAGCAAAGCTTGATTTGCCAGCTCAGGCGCCAGGTTTTCTTGCAGTTGGTTCCAAACAGCCTCCACTTGATGGACGAACTCTGAAGAGATGGAAATGCAAACAGCACAGCACAGTTGAGAAACCAGGATAAAGATTATGTTCCAAACAAAGAACAAAAAGCAAGCACAGAAATGCGGTAGTTGGGCTTCGATCGGTGGAGGAGGACTTGCCTTGAAATGTTGGATCCAAAATACACGCCTGCAGCGAACACATATTATATTGGGAGGTGTTAGCAAGTTGAACAGCAAAGCCTGGTTTCCCAGCCTACCTGAAGTTGAATGGAAAGTGGAGGCGCCTCTTCAACTGCATGAGAAAAATAGGTGAAATTAGCAAAGAAACCCTATGGCCAGCTACATGCAGATAGACCTCATACGCTAAAACTCAAACCTGCACTCTGAGGTTGGCTCGGCTGAGTCACGCAGCTATGTAGCTTCGCTTCTTTCTCGTCGTTCATCAAGCCCTGTCAGAATCCAAAGAAAAGTGGCATGTCACACTCGAACTTCTCAAGTACTTCATGCTTTTTTTTTTTTAATTACGAACCTGAATAGCGGCTGAGAAGGATTGAGCAGCAGCAGCAGTCTCGAATCTCATCATAAACTTCTGCATCTGAGGTAGATTTGAGCGTTTACTGGGATAGGCTTGTCACATACGAGTACACGTTTCTTACCTGTGATGGAGAATCTGCTGTGGTATAGCACGCTACGACAACCCTAGAGGGTATAGCCTCGGCAGAAGCTTGTGGCCGACAAATCGGCTGGAAAAGGTGAACTCGTAACACGTAATGTTGCTCCTGAAAGATGGCCACAACGTCAATTTTTTTGCCGCATACGATTTCATCGACGACGCACGGCGGTTCGTGGCAAGTTTTCTCACGTAAGTGACTCCACAGATCAAGGAAATCGTGGAGAGCTTGGGATCAGCGCGTTTGACGAGCGTGACTGTCACAAGGTCTCTGCTCTTCAACCAGTGTCCTCGAGTTGGTCTGCCCTTCAGGCCAGAAAACTTCCCGACGGCTGCCTGCAGGAAAGCCGTCTGCATTTCAACGAATTTACTCAAATGAACTTGCCAGGACAACGATCCCAGCTCCTCGTCTGGTCGCATTCCGGGAATCTGCATATAGTCTCGTGAAGGTTTAGAGGAGAAATGACTGCGTTCGTTCACAAATTCAAAACTCGTTGCTGCCTCTCTCGGAAACTGAACGTGGGCATACCATGCATGAAAACTAGTCCGCGACGGGAACTTACAGTACTTCTGTGAAACTAGCTGAGCTGCTCGGCTGTTTTTTTTGCAACAGGCCGGAGGTGGGTGCTGACATTTGGAGGCCCAGAACTTTGAGGAGCCCTGGATATTCCCCGTTGCACGCTTTAAAATAACTTCCATGCAACATATTGGCCTTCGCCTACTGTACCAGTACTCCTTAACTTCAAAAAATGCTTTCAAAAAAATGCAGGTTGCGTTTAAAAGCTATCAATATCATTTTACCCCTCATGTAAATAAATATAACTTTTAAAATTCAATTCATTGGCTTTCAAGTTTGTTGGTCAAGCAATTTGAGGTTCGGAAGAAGTTCTAGGTCTCTACTTATCAATGCAAGATCTAATGGTGCTGATAAAATTAGAGTGCCTAGAGAACAATGTCAAGGTGTACGTAAACATTCGCTACTGTGGTAATTGTGAGGGTTGACAGTGGTCGGTGCTTCCAATCACCTGGTGTGCAATGGGTTCCCTACGTCACCGACAACTCCGTCAACCTAGGCCAGCCGACTCATTACATGCGGGTTTTTGTTTTTTAGGCGAAGGCAGCGATGAGTGCTATAGCTGACCAGCCAAGCCAGTCGGGTAACAGCAGTGTCAGACTTGTCAGTTCTACCGATGACAGAAGCTCTAGCGATTCTATGTCGGCGATTCACGAAGGCTGACGAGCATCTGCTCGCTGGCTTCGAACGACGACACCATTCGGAAATGTCGTTCTTGCTTGTCGTGAACTGCACTTGAGTGTGCTCACTTCCACCATGCTGTTTCCGGTCGCACATAACATGATGAATGTCGCACAAGAAACGTAAACCGTCCGATCATCCAACGTCATGGTTGATTCGACAACATTCCGCCCATCGACTTCTCCATCGAGTCGCCCCAGGTTTCGGAGTGCAAGGTCAGCTCCGTCCTTCATTGGCTTGTTCGCCCGTCGACCTGGTCGTCGACTGCGTTGGACCACGTCTGCTAAAAGCAGAAATTTACGGGCGGACCTTAAATAAACACGTCGAATGTTTCAGCTAACTCGAAGTTACATCACTTATAGGTTTACTAAGAGCTAACACTGCCGTTAGCTAGGCTCACTAAGAGCTGAAAGTGGCAAGTGCTTGAATGTTTCGGGTGCTAGGCTCACTAAGAGCTGAAAGTGGCAAGTGCTTTAAAACACTGCCGTTCACGGTGTTTCGGGGGCAGAAAGTGCCCGCGAAATACAACGAAGTACTATCATGACACAATTCCGTCGCCCAAATCGCCTCCCTTTCCCCATCACCCACACAAACTCGCTCGCCGCATTGCAGTCCACCTTCTTCTACCCCACACCGTGCCTCCCTTCCGTCCATCCTACCAGAGTCAATCTTCTGAAGTTCTAGAAATCCGAGTCAATGCTGGCATTGGCGCCATTGCTAACATATCCCTGCTCTCGAGTCACCTGGACGGGGGACGGGCTGTCGTTTACCTAGCCGACTAGTTTCCGTCATCACATGTTCGTCCAGCTTACATCTCAACACCTCCACTCACGCTCGTGTTTGGGGTTGTGACCCGCATTTCAGAAGTACCGTGTATGTCCGGACCCAAGCATAAAGCGAGCATTTCTCACACCAGTCCCATGTTTCAAGTTTTTTCGTAATCGCGCAATCACTTCGCAGCTCAAAAATAGAGACTTCGACCCTGTGGTCGTAGCTATACGAAAGGCAACGTCCGGACGAGCAAGTTGATATAATGGCACAGCAAGGAAATGCATCAGCGACAGCAGCAGTAACCGCACGAGCCTCTCCTCTAATGCAGCAGCAGCACGGCTGCGACCGCCACGACAGGCGCGCGCATTCGTTAGAATCGCAGAGGAAGCGCGGCAGGGGCTCCGGTTTCGACCTTGACGCCTCCTCCGAGTCTCGCGCCGCCAAGTCCGCTAGAACCGGCGATTGCGCTTCGAGTCACCATTCCTCCTATCCTCGCCCGTCCTCCTCCCAATCTTCTCCCAACTCCCCCTTCCCCTCTACCTCCCCGTCGTCTCGTGCGACCGAGATTTTCGGCACGCCCACGGGTCGCCTGGAGGATTACTTTACGCTCGAATCGGCTGTGCTCGGTTCGGGGCAGTTCGGGACGGTGCGCAGGTGCGTCGAGAAGGCGACCGGGACGCACTTCGCGTGCAAGACCATCTTAAAAAGTCGGCTAACCTCCGAACTGGAGCGTCATGACGTGCGGCGCGAGGTCGTGCTCATGCAGCGTCTCGCCGCGCCCGCGTCTTGCGGCGCAACTTCCGCCGCAGCTGGCGCCGCGTCTGCCGCCGGAGCTGGCGGCGGCCTCGCGGGGTACATTCCGCACGCGGGGGTGGTGCAGCTGCGCGCGGTGTTCGAGGACGACGCGGCCGTGCACATGGTCATGGAGCTGTGCGACGGCGGCGAACTGTTTGACGAAATCGTGCGAAGAGGGCGACTGAGCGAGCGCGACGCGGCGCAGGTGTTTAGCCAGATAGTGTCGGCTGTCGCCTTCTGCCATTCCCGCGGCGTGCTCCATCGCGATCTCAAACCCGAAAATATCCTCCTCGCGCGCTACCCCGCTTCCGCCGCCGCGCCTGCCGCTGCAGGTACGTCGTCCGCCGCCGTTTCCGCCTCCGCGGCAGCCGACGCGCCGGGCCCGCGCGTGGTCGTCGCGAAGCTGGCGGATTTCGGGCTCGCGATTCCGCTCAAGCAGGGCGAGCGCGCGCGCGGCGTGGCCGGGTCGCCGTTATACATCGCGCCCGAAGTCCTCCGCGGCGACTACTCCCTCGAAGCCGACGTGTGGTCGCTCGGCGTCATCCTCTACATCCTCCTCTGCGGCGCGCCGCCCTTCTGGGGCCCCACGGATAAGGACGTCTTCATGAAGGTGCTGCGCGGCGCGGTGGACATGGGCGGAGAGGAGTGGAGAGGGGTATCGGAGGAGGCAAAGGGGTTGGTGCGGTGCATGTTACAGCGGGACCCCAAGAGGCGGCCGCCTGTGGGGAAGATTCTGACTCACCCCTGGATTCTGCTCAACTGCCTTGGCGGGAGGATTCTCAGGCAGCAGCTAGGGAAGAAACCCGCTGCTGCTGGCTCGCCTGCTGCTGCGGCGTCTGCTGTGGCAGCGTCGGCCAACGTTGCTGCTGTGACCGCTGCTGGTGCTTCCGATGCAGCAGACTCAGCTGAGACTCTCTCAGCGCCAGGAGCAACAGCGGCGGCAGCATCGGCACCACCACCACCACCGCTGATAGTGATCCAGCAACAGCAGGTGGTGCTGACAGCTGCTCCACCCGCCACTGCCAGCAGCCCATCTGGCATCCGCGTGTGAAGCGTTGACTCTTTGAGTCTTCTCACAAGTCATCCTTCTCGCCTGCGCCTGCTCCTGCCTCCCAATAAAAGAGGTGCTTCCAATCTGCATCATGCGATTGACCCTCGGCCCTCGGCTCTCCTGGTGCTCCTCTTCCTCTCCCCTTCCACCCCAGTTCCTTTCCTCATCACTGCTCCTCTCCCGTCTTACAGCCGGGTTCCTGTCTTCTCACCACTCTCTCTCTACTTCTCTGATACACATCAGCATGCCACGTGGCAACACAGGGGGATGCCAAGTCAAGCCTCATGAGCACAGCTGACAGCAGCCAAACCCACCTGACCTGCACTTGATGCCTAGGTGCATTCGAGTGTCAAGGCTTGTGGGAACTGCTCGGCTACAGTACCACTGATTTACACCACCAAGTATATAGTATTCGTTCTTGGTTGGTGTGCAGTGTTACCTGGTTACACTGTGAGGCTTGGCTTGGCATGTTACCTGCCACTGGTGCATGCTGTGTAAGGGCTGCTCTATGGTGCATGCAAGATACCACTACAGGGCGCAGTATCTGCTAAGCAGCAGCCACAGTAGTCATAGGTACCTCCATGGAGGAATTTTCTGCATACCGAAACCTTTCTGCTTGTTCCGTACATAATGCCACAGGAACCTTATATAATTTAATCTGTGTGCTGCATTGCTTGTGCGCAACTGTCTGTCCTGCCAATCAAGGACACCAACCACGTGTAATTTTTTACCTGGAAGCTCTGCCCAGGTTCAACTTCGCCTCTTTTCTACGAAAATGACAGCTTGTCAAGACAAAATGATACCGTAAGCTACTGTCAAATGTTGGTAGCCTGTAGTGAGATGTGTCTTTGGGGGTACGTATGTGTCAAATGTTGTAGCCTATAGTGAGGTTTGTCTTAGGGGGTACAAAACTTAGGGTTAGCTATATGTACCCCAACCAACATCAATGCATCATCCATTCTTCATTCTGACATGGTATCAGTTAGGTTAGGATCCTGTGGGATCCCGTTCCTCCGTTCTCCGTTCGAGCCTCCCGAGCCTGATCCTAGCTCTCATTCGTCCCGGTTCCGTTGTTACCGCGCGTAGTGCCGAGCCTAGCGCCAATCCTAGCGCCCGTCCGCGCCACCCGTTCCCCTCGTTCCGTAGCGCCCGCCCTTACCCCCCGTCGCGTCGCGTTCCCCCCCCACGTCGTGTCGCGCCCGTTCCCCCCGTCGCGTCGCCGCCCATTCCCCCCGTCGCGTCGCGCCTTTTCCCCCCGTCGCGTCCTGCCCGTCCTTTCCCCCTCGTCGCGTCCCTTTCCCCCTGTCCCGTCCTACCCGCCCTTTCCCCCCTCGTCGCGTCCCTTTCCCCCCCCCCCCCGTCGCGTCCTCCCCGCCCTTTCCCCCTCGTCGCGTCCCTTTCCCCCCGTCGCGTCCTGCCCGCCCTTTCCCCCCTGGTCGCGTCCCTTTCCCCCCGTCGCGTCCTCCCCGCCCTTCCCCCCTCGTCGCGTCCCCTTTCCCCCCGTCGCGTCCCGCCCGTCCTTTCCCCTCGTCGTGCCCCTTTCCCCCCCGTCGCGTCCCGCCCGTCCTTTCCCCCCCGTTGGGTCCCTTTCCCCCCGTCGCGTCCCGCCCGTCCTTTACCTCCGTCACGGCCCGCCCCTTCCCCTCCTGTAGCGGCCCGCCCTTTCCCCTGTAGCGGCCCGCCCTTTCCCCTGTAGCGGCTCGCCCCTTTCCCCAGCCCGTCGTCTTAACCCTAGCCTGCTCTTCCGCTGCCACTGTATCCCTAGCGTTAGTTCTCGCTATGGCGACTCCGCGTGTGCTTCGTTTCGACGCTGACGGTAGACCTCTTGATTTTTCCGTCTGGCTTCTTCGTGCTCGCCGTCTGTTAGAGAGTCAGGTCCAGGCAGGCGAGACCCTCTGGGCGCACGCTACTGGTGCCCTACCTGCGCCCTCCGACCCTACGCCTTTAGGACCTGCCCCTGACGACGCCGCTAGAGCCCGCTTTGCCACTCAGCGAGCTGACCAGACGGCTTGGACGTCACGTGACGCTGCGGCCTGCATCGCGCTCAGCAGCCTCCTCCCTGAGTCTGAGGAGGTTCACTTCACTCAGGTTCGCACCGCTGCTGAGTACCTCACTGCGATTAAGGCCCGCTACTCTTCTCCCGCTGCTGTCTCTCTTGGCCGCCTGTTCCTCCCGTTCCTGTTTCCTGACCTAGCGTCTTTTGAGCGCTCTGCTGACTTGATCGCTCACCTCCGCTCGCTCGACGCTAGTTACCGCGCTGCTTGCACTGAGGCACAGCTTGCACTGCTTCCTCCCCCTATGGCGATTACTATCTATTTCATCGCCACTAGCCTCCCTGACCGCCTTGCCTCCGTTCGCGACGCGCTTCTGCTGAAGCACCCTAGTGAGCTCACAGTCGATGTCCTTGAGTCTACACTCAAGGACGTCGAGAGCAACCTTCGCTCGGTAGCCGCTGCCTCTGGTGCTGTGCCCCCCCCACTCTTCCACGGGTGCACAGTCCCGCAGTTACCCACCTTTACTGCCTCACTTGCCACTGCCGCTACTGACGCGACTGCAGCTGCTGTTACGACTGCGTCGCGGTCCCGCGGTAGGAGTGGCAAGAAAGGCGGTTCTGGTGGTGGTAGTGGAGGTGGAGGCGGAGGTAGTGGAGGTGGCGTTGCGCCTGGCGGCGGTGGAGGTTCAGGGCCTGGAGAGGCGCCTCGTGCAGTGACTGGTGACTCCACTGCGCCTGCTAGTGGTGGCGACGCCCGAGTTCGTCAGTCGCCTCCTGTACTTCCTGCCCCGGTTGGTGGAGCAGCGGCGTGGTACCAGGCTCAGCGTCAGCAGCAGCTTCTGCAGCACCAGCAGCCCCTCTCCTCCCAGCAGCCTCAGCAGCAGCAGCGGCAGCAGCTGGCTCCAGGGTCGGGGCTGCGTCAGACCCAGCGTGGTGCTGCTTACACTCCCTGCACCTACCAGGTTCTGACAGGCCCTCGTCGTGGCCACCCTTGTGGCCGGTTTCACCCCCCTGGTCAGTGCTTTGCTCAGCTCACTGACACGGTTCGTTTGGTCTACGGGGTTGGTGCTCCTGCCCCTGACTGGCTGCCTCTTGTTCAGCGCTACGGCTCCGCTCTGTGGGGCATGTCTGCTGAGCAGTTAGTTGATCTGATTGGTACTCCCCATGCTATGTATGCTGTTGTTGACTCTAGTGTTTCTGACTCTGCTTACTCTGGTGTTGTTAGCTTAGGTGCTAGCCTTGCTCAGTTGCCTGTTGCTAGTGTAGGTTCTTGTGTAGACTCTAGTCCAGCGGCTACCTCAGAGGACGGTTCGCTGTCGTTCACGCTGGACTCTGGAGCCTCTCACTGCTTCTTTCGTGACAGCACGACACTTACGCCTCTTCCTGCGCCTGTTTCTGTGGCGCTGGCTGATCCCACTTCGGGACCAGTCACCGCGCGTCACACTACCACCTTGCCGTGTCCGGCTGCTCCTTCTGGGTCTCTCACTGGGTTTCACGTCCCCTCGTTCTCCCGGAACTTGGTGGGCGTGCGACCCCTCGTGAGTCAGCACGTGGGTGTGTGGTTTGAGCCTTCTGGAGAGACTGCGGTGTGTGTTGACGGGGACTCTTACCAGCCCCTCGCCACTTTTGCTGCTGAGCCGGGCTCCGGTCTCTACACTCTTCACACTGGCCCGCGCGCTCAGCAGCGACTGCAGCAGCAGCAGCAGCAGCAGCAGCAGCCGCAGTAGCAGCCACAGCGGCCGCCGTCGCAGCAGCCACTCCTCCCAGTTCCTGTCCCTCCCCCTAGTCTCCTCCCTGCGTCTCACCAGGTGGTTCCGTCCCCTCAGGTTGTCGCGTCCAGTCCAGTCGCTGCGTCTTGCTCCTGTCGGTCGCTTGCCCACCCCACCGTTCTGTGGCACCACCGGATGGGACACCCTTCTCTTCCACGTCTGCGTGCTATGTCTAGTCAGCGTCTGGTCTTAGGTCTCCCGCGTGTCTTGCCGTCGCTGCCGCCGTCCCTTGCACCACCGTGCGGTCCTTGCGTCGAGGGTAGGCTGCGTGCCACCCCTCACTCCTCCTCCCTTCGTCCGGCCACCGAGCCTTTTGAGACGCTGCACTTGGACGTCTGGGGCCCCTCTCCTCGCCCTGGCCCTGAGCGTGAGCGTTTCTTTTTGGTGGTCGTTGACGACTACTCCCGCTACACCACAGTGTTCCCCCTGGCGAAGAAGTCTGAGGTGACTTCTACGCTGATCAGGTGGTTGCTTACCACCCAGGACACTCGTGGTCGTCGTGTCAGCTGTCTCCACTCCGACCGCGGGGGCGAGTTTCGCTCCGGCATTCTCGCTGGATTCTGTCGCGAACAGGGCATTCGTCAGTCCTGGACGCTTCCGGAGTCCCCACAGCAGAATGGGGTTGCTGAGCGTCGCATAGGCCTGGTCATGGAGATTGCCCGCACCTCCTTGACTCACGCCCGTGCCCCCCATTTCCTGTGGCCATACGCAGTCAGGTACGCCGCGCACCAGCTGAACCTCTGGCCACGCGTCTCTCGGCCGGAGGCTTCACCGACCAGTCTTTGGACAGGGTCCCCTGGTGTCGCGTCGAGGTTTCGTGTCTGGGGGTGCTTGGCTCTTGTCCGCGACACCTCCGCGGACAAGCTCTCGCCTCGCGCCGTTCCTTGTGTCTTCCTTGGTTTCCCTGCGGACTCCTCTGACTTCACCTTTTACCACCCTCCCTCTCACCGGTTCTTTGACTCCCGTGACGTCCGTTTCGAGGAGTCCACCCCCTACTACGTCAGGTACCCCAGTCGAGGTCTCCCGGTCCCTCCCCCCCCTCTCTTCCTGACCGCCGCTCCCCCGCCTGCTCCCCCGGTACAGCCTCCCCCCCCTGGTCCAGCCCCGTCTGGTGTGTCTCAGGCTAGCCCTCCCCCTTCGGTAGCCCCCCCTGTACAGCCTCCCTCCCCACAGTCTTCCTCGCCGCCTCCTGCAGGTGCTCCCTCTCGAGAGGTTGGTCCTGCGACTGTCCCTGTACAGGTCTCTGGTTCTGGGGGTGCTGGAGTTGGAGCTGAGCCGCGGGTTGCAGAGGACTCTTGTCTTCCGGGGGCTGGTACTGGTCGTGCGGAGTCTGGGGGTGCTGCGTCTGGGGGTGAGGGTGTCCCTTCGGTTTCTGGAGAGCCTGGGTCTGGAGCTGGTGTTGGTGCTGCCTCTGGGGGTGGTGTGCTTGGTGCTTCGGAGGTCGACTCTGGGGCTGCCGCTGCCCCGGACACTACTCCTTCCCCCCACCCCTACCCGACCAGGTTCCAGGCTCGTGTTCGCCGTGCTCGTGAGGAGCAGCTGGAGTTGGAGAGAGAGGAGAGAGAGTTGCAGCGGCTCGAGGAGCAGGAGCGACAGCAGCAGGAGCAGCAGCAGGGGCAGCAGCCGCTGGAGCAGCAGCAGCCGCAGCAGCCGCAGCAGCAGCAGCTGCCGTCTCCTCCTCCTGTCTCGGGTCTTCGGACCCTTGGTCTCCCCTCTCCCTCTCCTTCCTCCTCCCCCTCTCCTCCCGTCTCTGGTCCTCCGCTTCCTCCTCCTGACCCCTCTCCCGCTGTTTTCCCTCGTTCTCAGTCTTCGTTGTCCCCTCCTCCTTCTCAGACTTGGGCCTCTCGTCGCTCCCCTCGTGCTCGTCCCTCGTCTCCTGTTCCCTTCACTGACCTTCGTACTGCCTTACTTCGTTCTAGTCCACCTCGTCCGTCTCCGTCTGTGCTTCCGTCTCCTCCTGAGTCGGCCCTCACTGCGTCGCTCCCTACTCCTGTCACTGACTACTACCGCACGTACCGTCCTCTTCTCTCTCGTGTTCTCGCCTCGCTTGTTACTCACCCTCGTGCCTCTGTGTCCTCTGTGTCCGCTCTTACTGCCGCAGTCACTGAGTTTGCCTCTACCCGCCGCCTTGACTTCGCCACCGCTCTTGTGGCTGCTCCTCCTTCCAGTCCTCTGGCCGTCGGGGGTGTGTCTGCCCTTGGCTGTGACGCCCTAGAGGACAGGCAGTTTGAGCTAGAGTTCCTGGCGGCCGCTTCCCCTCATCTCTGTGCCATGCTCCTCGCCCCTGAGGGTGACCCCGACGCCCTTGACATTCCGACTCCTCGCACTTACGCTGAGGCAGTGTCAGGGCCTTGGGCCTCTCAGTGGAGAGCTGCCATGGACGCAGAGATGGCCTCCTACAGATCCACAGGCACCTACGTCGATGAGGTTCCCCCTCCGGGGGCGAACGTAGTCGACGGCATGTGGATCTACAGGGTGAAGCGGCCACCGGGATCTCCTCCGGTCTTCAAGGCGCGCTACGTGGCTAGAGGTTTCAGTCAGCGCGAGGGAGTTGACTTCTTTCAGACCTTCGCGCCCACCCCGAAGATGACCACTCTTCGGGTGTTACTACACGTAGCAGCACAGAGAGACTACGAGTTACACTCTCTCGACTTCTCTACTGCTTTCCTTCAGGGCAGTCTTCACGAGGAGGTCTGGTTGCGTCGTCCCTCTGCCTTCACTGGCTCTTTCCCTCCTGGGACCCAGTGGAGGCTGAGGCGACCGGTTTACGGTCTTCGTCAGGCTCCTCGTGAGTGGCACGACACCTTGCGTTCTACCCTGTCTGACCTTGGGTTCCAGCCGTCTTCTGCTGACCCGTCGCTGTTCGTTCGTCGTGGCACCACACCTTTCTTTGTTCTGGTCTACGTTGACGACCTTGTTTTCGCCACCCCTGACAGGGTTGCTTTGGCACACGTGAAGTCCGAACTGCAGAAGAGACACACCTGCACTGATCTTGGTGAGCTGCGCCACTACCTTGGCCTGCAAATCACCAGGGACAGAGCTGCTCGCACCATTACACTTTCACAGTCGCACATGGTGCAGCAGGTCCTTCAGCGGTTCGGGCTTCAGCACTCCACAGTACAGCGCACACCTCTTGCTGTTGACCACAGACTCACTGGACCCTTTCCTGACGAGCCGTTCGAGCCTAGTGGTCCCTACGCAGAGCTTGTGGGTTGCCTCATGTACCTGATGACTTGTACTCGCCCGGACCTCGCCTTCCCTCTCAGCGTTCTTGCGCGCTTTGTTGCGCCAGGGAGACACCGTCCTGTTCACTGGACAGCAGCTGTGAGGGTGGCGAAGTACCTAGCGACGACGTCAGGCGTGGGGCTAGTTCTTGGAGGGCAGCAGTCTGTCGTACTTACTGGTCACTGTGACTCCTCTTACGCTGACGACGCTGAGACTCACAGGTCTACTCAGGGGTACTGTTTCAGCCTGGGTTCTGGAGCTGTTTCCTGGCGGTCCACGCGCTCCTCTTCGGTCTCGACCTCTACAGCTGAGGCTGAGATCTACGCTGGTGCCATGGCGGCACAGGAGCTGCGTTGGTTGACCTTCTTGCTCACCGACCTTGGTGAGCGGCCGAGCTCTGCACCGACCTTGTTCACTGACAACAAGGCGTCTATTCTCCTTTGTCGAGAGCCACGACTGGAGAGCAGAGTGAAGCACATTCACGTCAGGTACTTTCTTCTGCGAGAGTTGCAGAGGCGTGGACAGGCTCGCTTTGAGTTTGTGGAGTCCGAGGCCAACACTGCAGACATCTTCACCAAGGCGCTTCCGCCTTGTGACCACCAGAGGTGCTGTGTGCAGTTAGGCCTTGTTGACACTGGTTCTCGTGTTGCTTAGACTTGAGTGTACTGTTTACTTTGCTTTCTATATACCTCTGTTACTTCTTGGACTGGCCTTGTGGCCACTGTTGTTTGTGCTCAGACTGTGTGGTGACGTTGTGATCCACCCTGAGCTTTGTTTCTTGGACTGGTCTTGTGACCGTACTCGTTTGGTTCTGCTAGACACCCCTCACTTAGGCTATGGGGGTGTGTCAAATGTTGTAGCCTATAGTGAGGTTTGTCTTAGGGGGTACAAAACTTAGGGTTAGCTATATGTACCCCAACCAACATCAATGCATCATCCATTCTTCATTCTGACAGTATGTTAGGGTTTGCTACTTGTACCCCAACCACCATCAATGAAACAACACTTCCGATCTTGAGATGGTATCAGAGCGGGTTAGCGCAACACGTCACAAGGCAAGGCAGGGCGCGCGCGTGAGGCGCAGCGCAGGCAAGGCAGGGCGTGGGATAACCCGGTAACCGCAGTTGAACATTAGGCAATTGTGGGCCCGGAAAAAAAAAAAACGGTCATACGAACCTACTGCTCTGATACCATGTTAGAAACTAGTGACAGAGTGACTGAACTAGCAGCATGATGGGTACAAGTAGGAAACCCTAATTTGGGTTGTACCCCATATGGGCTACCCCATTACAGCCTACACAATAAGCAGCATATATGTTTGACAGAAAGAAGTGATAAGGCTGGTGGCGCCCCTTCAGGTTTCAGTTATTTTTTTATTGCACTGCCATGGAAAAACTACTAGCTAAACCGCTAAACATCATTTAGAGCGTCTCCCTACGCCTCATATCAAGCAACCTCATATCGGACTTGCCTGGTACAACTAGCAAAGGATTTTGGGCTTGGGGCAATTTTCAGCGTAAGCCTGATATGAGACTTCTTTGATACGAGGCATAGGAACACGCCCTTATTACTTGGAGGCTCTCATATCCCATGTTGTATAACTTCAGACCTGTGTGGGGTTTGATTTGAACACAACAGATATGCATCTACCACGAAAGAAAAGAAACACCCCAAGGTCAGCATGGTTTTTGCCAAAATTACCTTCAAGGCTATGACGAGGATTTGTTAGAGGGTTCTGCGATACTCTGTAGCTGCGTGGTTGTTGCCGCAGAGAGGTTAAAGTCAGAATAATACTCTCAGGTCGATGTTTACCAGACACGGCACCTACAACTTACACACATGACAAAGGATTTTCACTGTTATGAACAAGGATAGTAAATTCCTCTAGGTGTTGAGAGCTTTCAGTGTATCAAGTGACACCCCAGTCTTGTGATGTTGGTTCATACGCGTTTCACGTTCATGGCATGTTGTTCCACTTGCGCAATCCGCGGCCCTGCCGCGTCAACCGCTTTCACACTGCCCAGATTTCAACCAGGGAAGCGGTCAACAAACTTCAACAGTTGCGCAGGTGTGGGCCCAGGGCCCACTGTTGTGTGCGTAACCAAGCAGCACAGCGGAACTGTCGGAAGCGCATTCGCGAGTCATTTTGGCGTCGCAGGTTGGGATTTGTAACTTCTCGCGAAAACATATCGCCCAATCTCCATGTCGCGAAATGTGTCTGCGAAACCTGAGCTAAAGGCGCAAGTCCCGGATTTGACCTGGCGGGAAATTCATCATCCCGCCAAAATCAATCGCGGCGCATCCTTTCATTCATCTCATCTCACCTCACCAAAGCAGAAACGCTTTCGAGTCGCGTTCCCACCCCACTACAAAATCATGCTCTCGTCACCCACATCGACATCTTCACCACTGGAGACTTTCCTCTAGATTTCCACCCCGTCACTTCAACTTTCTCGCAATTTGAGCTTGTCAATCGCAAATATCCCTTTTTTTTAGCTCGTCCGTGCGTGACGGGTGCCTGGAGAGGTTGATTCCAGCACGATGGGGTGCAATGCGCGAGCCACGGCGTTGCCTCTTCTGCTCGCGCTTCTAGCGGCGTCGGTGATTGTCGCGCCAGGTGAGTCCCCCACGTCGTGCTCACCTTCTGTCCTCCATTTTGTTTTCCTTCTCCTCTCATCGATTACCAATTCGTTCTTCCTACTCTCCTCTGATAACCTGCCTGCTTGTCGTGCATTCCTGTTCTGCGTCCTTCGATTCCGTCGGTTTTTTCTGCCTTCTCTTTCGATGGATACGGGATAACGGATATAATTTGTCGTATCGTTTCTATCTGCGCAGCAACCGCGAGGGTTCTTGCTCCGCGAAGTCCGCGGCGAAGTCTCGCTCTCAAGGCCCTCTCGCTCCTCAAGGTGACATCAATCAAACCGACGCTGCTGGCTGTTAATGATTTGGGCGGCGGCTCTGGCGGAGATCTGGGCGGATCAGGCGGCGATTTGAACGGCGGCAGCGGCGGCGATTTGGGCGGCGGCTCTGGCGGAGACCTGGGCGGCGGCCCTGGCGGAGATCTGGGCGGCGGCTCTGGCCCAGATTTGGGCGGCGGCAGTGGTGGGGATTTGGGCGGCGGCAGCGGCGGAGATTTGGGCGGCGGCAGCGGCGGAGATTTGGGCGGCGGCAGCGGCGGACCTGGCGGACAGCAGGGCGGACCCGGCGGGCAGCAGGGCGGACCCGGCGGGCAGCAGGGCGGTCCCGGCGGACAGCAGGGCGGTCCCGGAGGACAGGAGGGCGGTCCCGGTGGACAGCAGGGCGGCCCCAGCGGACAGCAGGGCGGTTCCGGCGGACAGCAGGGCGGCCCCGGCGGACAGCAAGGGGGTCCCGGCGGACAGCAGGGCGGTCCCGGCGGACAGCAGGGCGGTCCCGGCGGACAGCAGGGCGGGCCCGGCGGACAGCAAGGGGGTCCCGGCGGACAGCAAGGGGGTCCCGGCGGGCAGCAAGGCGGTCCCGGTGGACAGCAGGGTGGGCCCGGCGGACAGCAGGGCGGTCCCGGCGGACAGCAGGGCGGACCCGGCGGACAGCAGGGCGGACCTGGCGGACAGCAGGGCGGCAGCGGCGGAGATTTTGTTGGCGGCAGCGGCGGAGATTTGGGCGGCGGCAGCGGCGGAGATTTGGGCGGCGGCAGCGGCGGGGATTTGGGCGGCGGCAGCGGCGGACCTGGCGGGCAGCAGGGCGGAGCCGGCGGACAGCAGGGAGGTCCCGGCGGACAGCAAGGCGGGCAGCAGGGCGGGCAGCAAGGCGGACCTGGCGGGCAGCAAGGCGGGCAGCAGGGCGGACCTGGCGGGCAGCAGGGCGGACCTGGCGGGCAGCAGGGCGGACCTGGCGGGCAGCAGGGCGGACCTGGCGGGCAGCAGGGCGGACCTGGCGGGCAGCAGGGCGGACCCGGCGGGCAGCAGGGTGGACCCGGCGGGCAGCAGGGCGGACCTGGCGGGCAGCAGGGCGGACCTGGCGGGCAGCAGGGCGGGCAGCAGGGCGGACCTGGCGGGCAGCAGGGCGGGCAGCAGGGCGGACCTGGCGGGCAGCAGGGCGGGCAGCAGGGCGGACCTGGCGGGCAGCAGGGCGGGCAGCAGGGCGGACCTGGCGGGCAGCAGGGCGGGCAGCAGGGCGGACCTGGCGGGCAGCAGGGCGGGCAGCAGGGCGGACCTGGCGGGCAGCAGGGCGGGCAGCAGGGCGGACCTGGCGGGCAGCAGGGCGGGCAGCAGGGCGGACCTGGCGGGCAGCAGGGCGGGCAGCAGGGCGGACCTGGCGGGCAGCAGGGCGGGCAGCAGGGCGGACCTGGCGGGCAGCAGGGCGGACCTGGCGGGCAGCAGGGCGGACCTGGCGGGCAGCAGGGCGGGCAGCAGGGCGGGCCTGGTGGGCAGCAGGTCGGGCCTGGGGGACAGCGGGGGGGACCTGGCGCAGATCAGGGGGGATCTGGCGGGCAGCAAGGGGGTTCTGGCGCAGATCAGGGGGGATCTGGCGGGCAACAGGGGGGTTCTGGCGCAGATCAGGGGGGATCCGGCGGGGGATCTGGCGGGATTGCAACTGTTCAGAATGTGGGAGACAGCACTTTCTCAAAGGTCGGTGTGAAGGCAGGAAAGGGGGCAAAGGGCGGCAAGGGTGGAAAGGGAGGGAAGGGGGGGAAGGGGGGCAAGGGCGGAAAGAAGTGAAATACAGTGCCTGCAAAACCGTCTCTGCAACAAGTTCTCTGTTTTTGAGGCGCCTCGGAGATGGTCTGTGTTGTATCATGTATGTAAAATTTTTGTCTGTTGCATAGTTGGACCTTAAACCCAATATTCTTGAATGTTCCCCCAACCGATTAATGTGGATGCAAGTACTTATCCTGTTCTTCCATATCGCTCCTCCTTTGTTACATTCTGGGCTTACCTAAGACTGACTTTTTGACTGGCACGGCAGAATTTCAATCAGCCACCAACCCATCACTTCTTGTGAAATTTCTGATTTGGAGTGCCAAGCCACAAACCAATACCCAAAGGAATGTCCAACAAGTCAGGTGTTGCTGCCTCTGTTCCTTACCAGGTCTCTAATCGTGCCCCCATAAAGATTGTTGGATGGGCTGGGCTTGGGTTCCTGAGAAGAAATATGTTGCAGTGGTGGTATTGTATGCGTTATGGATACCATGGGTAGGGCTGCCAAGTTGCTGCTCCCGACCTGAGTTATTGAGGAGGGCATTGTTAGAATCTACCAGCAGGAATGGATGAACTAACAGGATGCAGGAGTACAAGTAGTAAACCCTAACTAGGTTGTACCCCATATGGGCTACCCCACTACAGCCTATACAATATGCAGCACATATAGTTTGACACACCCCCATAGGCAAAGTGGGGGAGAACAAAGGGTCACAAGACCAGTCAAGAGAAGCAAAACAAGCTCAGGGTGGATCACAACGTCACCACGCATTCTGAGCACAAGCAAAGGGCCACTGGGCCAGTTCACATGCAGAGATATATATGCAGCAATAACAGTACAGTGATGGCTACCTAGCAAGAGCCAGCATGCATATATATATATATATATATATATATATATATATGTACAGATCACAGTACAAGCAGAGACTACAGCAAGTGTGGAAACGTAGGCACAAGGCCTAACAGAGTACAAAAGCGCTGATGATCACCAGACGGAAGTGCCTTGGTGAATATGTCAGCAGTGTTGGCCCGAGTGGCCACGTGGCGAAGACGAAGCTGGCCTCGCTGCTGCAACTCTCGAGCCAGGAAGTACCGCAGAGCAATGTGCTTCGTTCTGTGCTCCAGTCTGTGCTCCTCACACAAGGCAATGGCTGCCTTGTTGTCAACGTACAGCACTGGAGGAGAACGAGGCTGCTCTCCCAAGTCAGTCAGCAGGTAGGTGAGCCAGCGTAACTCCTGTGCAGCCATGGCGGTGGCGTAGATCTCAGCCTCACAACTGGAGCCGAGAACTGAAGTCGAGCGTGTAGAACGCCACGAAACTGAACCAGAGCCAAGGCTGAAGGTGTAACCCTGTGACGACCGCTGAGTAGCCAGGTCGTCAACCCAAGAAGCGTCTGAGTGCCAAGTGAGGACAACTGGGCTCGTCCCTCCAAGCACTAGCCCCATGCCTGATGTGCTGCACAAGTAACGCAGTACCCTCTTAGCAGCAGCCATGTGCTCAGGTCGGTGCCGACCAGGAGCCACGTAGCGAGCCAGGAGACCAAGAGGGTACGCGAGGTCAGGTCGAGTGCAAGTCATCAGGTACATGAGGCAGCCGACTAGCTCTGGGTAAGGACCACTCGGCTCTACGGACTCGTCCGAAGGTGGAGCTGAGAGCGTGTGACCTGTAGCCAGAGGAGTGGCCTGTGCTGAAGACCAGGTGAAGCCGAAGCGCTGAAGGACCTGCTGCACCATGTGTGACTGAGTCAAGGTGATGGTGCGACGTGCTCTGTCTCGGGTGATCTGCAAGCCAAGGTAGCTGCGCAGCTCACCCAAGTCTGTGCACGTGTGTCTCTTCTGCAGCTCCGACTTCACGTGGGCGAGAGCCTCAGTGTCAGCAGTGGCAAAAACCAAGTCGTCGACATACACGAGGATGTAGAACGGCGGCAGTGAAGTGTCGGTGCGCAGAAACAGCGACGGGTCAGCAGTAGAAGGCGCAAACCCAAGAGCCGCAAGCATAGTCCTCAGTGTGTCGTGCCACTCACGTGGCGCCTGGCGGAGACCGTAGACCGGCCGCCGGAGGCTCCACTGGGTACCAGGAGGGAACGACCCAGTGAAGCCCGGGGGGCGGCGCAGCCAGATCTCCTCGTGCAGGCTGCCCTGCAGGAAAGCTGTGCTGAAGTCAAGAGAGTGAAGCTCGTAGTCACGGTGAGCAGCAACGTGCAGCAGTACCCGAAGAGTGGTCATCTTCGGAGTGGGGGAGAAGGTCTGGAAGAAGTCAACTCCCTCTCGCTGACTGAAGCCTCGAGCCACGTAACGCGCCTTGAAGACAGGCGGAGAACCCGGCGGCCGCTTCACCCTGAAAATCCACATGCCACTGACGATGTTCGCCCCAGGTGGGGGAACCTCGTCAACGTAGGTGCCTGTGGACTTCCAGGAAGCCATCTCTGCGTCCATGGCTGCCTGCCACTGAGAGGAGTAGGGACCCTCTATCGCCTCTGCGTAAGAGCGCGGAGTCGGGATGTCTGGTGCATCCGGGTCTCCCTCAGGGGCAAGTAGCGAGGACACAAGATGAGGTAAAGCAGCAGCAAGGCACTGGAACTCCTCCTGCCTGTCCTCAAGGACGTCCGTGCTAAGAGCACACTCACCCCCGACGGACGGAGGACAGACAGACTCAGACTCAGTAACAAGACTGGCAGTGAAGTCTAGACGACAGGCAGCAGCAAAGTCAACAAGCTCAGCGACAAGAGCAGACGCAGCAGCAGACTCAAACGACGGGTCAGTGACAACTGTGGCTAGTAGACGCGTGACAGTAGGGTGCTGAGCACGAAACCGGTCAGACGCAGGGTCCGGAACGTCAGGCAAAGAGGACGCAGGAGGAGACGGCAGAGGAACAGGCTGCGGAACAGAGGAAGGACGACGGACTACGAGGTGCACGCTGGTGACAGCCGGCGGACGCGAACGAGGAACACGAGGACCGGTACGACCAGGACGAGCAGGCGAGACAGGACGCGACGCAGGCTCACGACGCACAGCAGGACTACCAGTCAGCTCAGCGTAAGGAGAAGGAGCAGGCAGCGGCGAGCCAGTCTGTAACGGAAGACCAGTAGACGACGGAAGAGTAAGAACCTGACGAAGAACAGAGGCAGACGGCGGCAGAGACGACGGAGACGGCGGAGCGAAGAACAGTCGTGTCGGCGCAGCTGCACCAGAACCAGCAGCTCCAGCAGCTCCAGTGCCTCCAGCAGCTCCAGTACCTCCAGCAGCTCCAGAAGCTCCAGGCCCAGAGCCGACACCTCGAGTCCCAGGGTCTCCAACCTCTGTGTCTCCAGCAGCAGCACCCCCAGAACCAGCACCTCCAGCTCCAGGGTCTCCAACCTCAGCGTCTCCAGCAGCAGCACCCCCAGAGCCAGCACCTCCAGTCCCAGGGTCTCCAGCCTCAGTGTCTCCAGCACGAGCCCCTCCAGAACCAGCAACTCCAGCACCTCCAGTAGACAAAGGACCAGCACGACTCCGAGCTCCAGCAGCGCGACGCTGACGGCGACCGTACCAGTCCTGCAGCTGCTGTGGGGTGAGAGGCACACGGGGACGAAGGCGGCCACTCCAAGGAGACCGCGCAACAGCAGACTCAGAACCCTCAGCGCCCGCACCCCCAACGGCTCCAGAACCTCCGGTGTCAGTACCCTCAGCACCAGTACCTCCAGCGACTCCAGAACCTCCAGCGCGAGCACCCTCAACAGCTCCAGGACCTCCAGCTCCAGCGCCACCAGGACTAGGCCCTCCAGCAGCTCCTGAACCTCCAGCGCCAGCACCCTCAGTAGCTCCAGAACCTCCAGCGTCAGTACCGCCAAGCTCAGCACCCCCAGACCCCTCACACGCAGGCTCAGCACCACCAGGCTCTACACCCTCAAGCTCCGCACCCTCAGGCTCAGTACCCCCAGACTCAGCACCCCCAGGCTCCGCACCCCCAGGCTCAGCACCCCGAGCAGGACCACTCGCAGGAGGACCTGAGTCACCAGTGACCTCAACCGGCGCAGTCAAGGGAGGAGGGTCTACCTGAGAAACACCTGAAGGAGCAGGACCGGGAGCGGGGAGGGGGTCTACCTGGGGAGCACCTGGAGCAAGGAAGAGCGGCGGGGGGGGGAGCGAGGCAGTGCGGTAGGGGAAGAGACGGTAAAAGGGAACCGACTCGTCGAACGTGACGTCCTGAGACGCAAAGACACGGCGCGAGGTGGGGTGGTAAAACTGCCAACCAGGCGCGTCAGGGACAAAGCCAAGGAAGACACAGGGAACAGCGCGGGCGGAGAGCTTGTCCGCGGTGGTATCGCGGACAAAGGCACGAGCACCCCAGACCCGGAAACGCGACGCATCGCCAACCTTCCCCGTCCACAGCAGTGTGGGCGAGGTCTCCGGCAAGGAGACACGGGGCCAGAGGTTGAGCTGATGCGCGGCGTACCGGACCGCAAACGGCCACAGAAAATGGGGGGCAGCCGCATGGATCATGGAGGTACGAGCGACCTCCATGACTAAGCCAATGCGGCGCTCAGCAACCCCATTCTGCTGCGGAGAGGCCGGAAGCGTGAACGACTGGGTGATGCCGTGCTCCGCACAGTAGGCTGCCAAGAGGTCGGAGGAGAACTCACCACCTCTGTCAGAGTGCAGACGCAGGACAGGAAAGTCCGACCGGAACCGCTCGCGGAGCTGGAGACGAACAGCGCGGATCCAGGGGATCAAAACAGCAGGGACGTCCCCCTTGCTCTGCAAGGGGAAGACCGTGGTGTAACGCGTGTAGTCGTCGACGACCAGCAGGAAGTACCGCTCGCGGCCCTGTCCCTGGACGCGGGCTGGGCCCCACACGTCCAGGTGGAGCGTCTGCAGTGGAGCCTCTGTGGGAGGAAACGAGGAGGAGTGAGGAGCGGCGCGCTGCCGCCCCTCGACGCAAGGAATGCAGGGCGGCGCAGGCGAGGGAGGGAGGGCAGGCAGGGACCTGGGAAGACCAGAGACCAGGGAGCGAGAGTGCATGCTACGCAGGCGAGGCA